TGATTATGATTATGATTATGATTATGATTATGATTATGAGTCTTTTGGTTTTTGTTTTTTTTACTTTTGTACGGTATAAAAAAATTCACGATAATTTCTTGCGGTATGCCATTTATTTTAAAAATTAATAATAAATTATTATTATTATTTGCCACGTTTCGCGCCATCTCATCTAATAATCTCATCGTCAAAATTGTTGTTACAACATGTTTGACAATTCATAAAAAGACTGTCGTAAAAAGATTCATAAATTACTATCAATACTTGTCATATACCTAACATCGGCAAGTTCCATTTCTCTTGGAGCGACCAACGCATGGGGAAGTACACCATTCCTGTGAAAAACAAAAATATTTTGATATTTTTATTAATATATTAGATTATTTAAGAGTCACTTCGTGTAAATAGTGAAAATAATGGTACAATCTCCAAAAACCCTTTCAAAGTCTTCTAAATCACCTGGATTTTGGGGCTATTTTACAATCAGATTGCTGTTAAAATGCCGATCTGCTTGGCTCAACCTAAGCCTCGTTTCCATATATATTTCAAAACGGCAGTTCTATCCACGTAATGGTCTATTGTTTGGCGTTTTTCATGGATGTTCCAAATCTAGCGTATTGACACATACGCAAATACAAATACAAATAATAATAATAATAATAATGATGATGATGATGATGATGATGATGATGATGATACGTAAATGATACGATGAATATGTACTTATTTTCTGAGTGGGAGGGCCGTACGGGAAAATATTTGGCTCGAGGTGATGCCGTACGGACTGAGCGCAGCGAGGTCCGTACAAATGACCGAGAGCCAAATATTTTCCCGTACGGCCCGACCTAACTCAGTCAATAAGCCCTCTTTGATATGACCCTATGCAATAATGTCAATACGGTCGCAGGATTCGAGCAGGGCCGTGTGGATTCGTACGGGCCTGCTCGCTCAAAGCCGTGCGGCTCTGCTCACGCCATTTTCCCGAAGAGCGCGCGCCCGGGCAGATACGGGTCATATAATATATAACGGTTCCATAATATCTTGAAATAATTTCTAAGAACAACTTCTAAAAAAATGAATACATTAAAAGTCTTTGCAGGGTCTCAGGGTGCATCAATTAACCAAATTTTAGAACGCTGATTGGCTTATTACCTTGAAATTGGAATATATATAATATATTGACAGTGTTTGACTTACCTGCAGTCAGGCAATAAGCCTGATGCTCGTCACTCCACTCCATTATGCACCAGTCCTCCTGTGTCAGTCGCCCGCATTTGATAAGCGGGTCCTCCTCACCAGGCTCTTCCGATGTCGATATAAATTCCTGCAACATTTTGTTGTATACGCCTCCTTCTCTTGCTTCAAACTTGTCAGGATATCGCTCTAAATAAAGAAAGATGTTGAATACTACGAAAATTAAAGAGAACATCTTTTTATCTCTAAAATCTTTAATTCCTTCCAAAACCTCCCTCAGGATATCATTTTTTATAATGCAGTGCAGATCTTTGCTCGATGGTCGTTGAAATGGTAGTCGACGAATGAGAGATTAAACTTCCCGGGTCGCACTTCAGTGACGACAATGGTAATAATGAGGGGAAAAAGTTATATATATATATATATCATTGGCGGGACTCCAACCCACGTCTTCGGTTATCTAGTGAAATATGAGTGTTGCTGACCCTGCTAGACAGACGTTTCTTTGTTTTTCTTGTCTGCCAAGAAGGAATCTGTCCAATGCCGTCTAAACCTTTGGACAAATAAATTATTTCACGACCGGTTTTAAACCCATAAATACCAGCTTGACGGAGAAGTCGATAATTTACAAACATGACGTTCTAATGTTTTCCACGCATGCTCAACAGAATATCGAGCAGATCCGTGGAGGTTGGAGGAGAAAGATAAGGAAACCTCTGCCCAAGCACGTTGGATCAAGCTAGTCTTACCTGGTAGATACTTGCAAATCATTTGTAGTAGTTCACTCTTCGCCAGTTTAGTCGACTCATTGTTGTTGGTGACAAACACCTTGTCACGCAGTGTTTGCCACAGTCGCTCCTTTTCGTGTTGCTGCGATGCGTATGTTCGATCAATCTTTATCCAATCTTTTGGATCAAGCTTCATTGTCATCATCCTTACCCGATCTGAGAAAAAGAAAAGTCGTATCAGATGTTTTATTTTCTTGGAACATGCCATCATAGATTTCGTCTGTTTGTCAGTGCTATTTTTCAATTTCTCATTCTTTTTTATTTATATTTAATCTAACAACAATAACTTTATTTGCTCTTTTATAGTAAAATTACGTAAACAAATAAAAATATTAGAAATGATATAAATATGTCAAAAAAGGCTACCTAAAAAAAGCTTAAGCTAAACAGCTATCTAAAAAAAAGCTAAAGAGCTAAACGAGTTCTCCCACCTCTCGCTTAGAGACTAGCTGAGACTGCTACCCAGCTACAGCCACAAATATTAAGCTGCATAATCCATTAAGATTTTGCAAAGTGTATTTTTTCTCCTCAAAGAACACGTCTAACACAAAATGAGCATTTAATAATGATAATATGATGTACTTGCCCACTTTAGAAACGAGCAAAAGACTGGGGCCAGTTTTGAATTTCAATCTAATTAGTAAGAGTTTTGTCATCTGATAAAGCACCTCAATATTTGTGCTGTGGAATTTGAACGCGTTTTGTTAAAAAAAAAGGAGTTTCAAAAGTGTGATGTACAAAGTGAATGCATGGTTGCAGGTGACATTTGTCCCCTGTAGCCCCATACATTTTTTGTAAATGTTCGACTCCTTGAAAAAAAAAAAAAAAAAAAGGAAAAAAATTCTAGTTCGTTTTATCCTATCATGTTCAAATTTGCCAGACTTACTAATCTTGAAATGCTTTCTTAAATAACAAATTGCCTTCTCTAATAAGATTAAAATTCTAAGCTCGTCCCAGTCTCTTGCTCGTTTCTTAATCGGCCAATGAGAGATGAGCACGTACTAGGTATTTCATGCTTGTAGGTGCCAAGATATGGTTTTCCATCCTCGAACGTTTCCCATTCGAATGCCTTCTCAACGGCTTCCACATTGATTGCCATATTTACTTTGTATGCTGCTTAACCTCTTTAAACCACGTGATCTGAGGAAAAACTTAAAAACAGTCACATTGAGAATATATTTTTTGACATCCAGTAACAGCGATGTGATTATTTCCTACAAATGGCCTATCCTACAAGTGCCTATGACCCCTAACTCAATATTTGCAGCATTGATTCTACATGAAGTTAAAAGTTAAATAGTAAAATATTTTTATATGATTTGTGTGATGATCTTGGAGATATCAAGGTTTATACTTCCAGTATGCTAATGAGTGTGATGTCATAGTAGGTATTTGGGTTTATTTATCATCATTTTTAAATCAAAACACTGATTACTATGAGGAAACAAATTTGCAATAACCTTTCTATAAACCCTGAGTAAGATAATTATGTTTTATACAGGATATTTTACTACCCCAGTAAATTTTCGTATATTCAATAATGCCTACTATGACATCACACTCATTAGCATACTGGAAGTATAAACCCTAATATCTTCAAGATGCATCACTCAAATCATATAAAGGGAATATTTGGAATCGAATAGGAATTTTATGTTTTCCCTTGATGCTTATCATTAGATTATATTTATGTTTAATTGTAATGAAGTAAACAAGCTGCAAGAAAATCGACATTGTTTGTGCCATTTTAATAGTTATTAATATTTAGCCAAGGGAAAACATAAACATATTTTACTATTTAACTTTTAACTTCATGTAGAATCAATGCTGAAAACAATGAGTTAGGGGTCATAGGCACTTACAGCTTCAGGGAGATGACACCCAGTCCTAGGTAAATATTTCCCTTTTTTTCCTAAAAAAAGCAAATTCCTGGTAGTCGATCTATGAACATTAACAATACATCCAGTAATATAGACGAATAGTGAATATTAACCATTAACTAAAAGTGCACGGGCTGGTAATGCTAATGCCTACAGATCTCGAGTATTTATGCTGACAGATTCAAAAAGTTCAAAACCGCAGCCTTTTGTTTCGCTCCGTTGGAAATCTGTACAAAATCAAATGCGCCCTGGCAAACTCCTGATACTCAGGTTTTATGTCGAACTAATTGCACTGTATTGCTTTTCATAAAACGCTATTCATCTCCTAAAAGTCAAATCAGTGGCGGGGGTCATGACGATAATATTACTAAAGACGACTTCGACTTCGATATAGTCGATAGCTTCGCGTATCCACGAGGTAAAAAGACACTCCGGCCCGTAATGAACAAAATGAAATATATTAAAAGAGAATATATAAATTTAACTTGATTAAATCTCGCAACTTCTTGATCAGTAAGAAAAGCAAAACCTGTCGCCATGTCCGACCAGAGGGCTATTTTGATACGAGCGAAGGAATAATAATTATAAATGGTTTATGTTGACTCAAATCATGACCACACTGCTTGCTTGGTTAAGCATTATGCTCAATGCCACAATGTCGCTACAATGCCAAAGCCAACCGATTCTCGTCGAACATAGTATTATCAAGTAACTTATAAGTATGAAAATATGATACTAAGATCAGACACTAGTCAAAGACAACCAAAATATGAACTTTGAATCCACTATGACGACAATAAAGGGTAAAGACAAAGCTAGACAAATTGTTGTGCTGCGTACCGTGTTAGAGTAGATGTCACTGCATTGTTGATTATATACAAAACTAAGTCGATTTTACTCAGTTTTAAAAGAAACGTTATTTATGCTTCAAAAAATTAACTTGGAACTCGACCAGACATGTACTTCTAATGTTTTAAGACAAGAACGGTGAGAATGTATGACTGAGATCAACCTACCCAAATTGGAAAGTAGTTGCCAGAGTCTTCGATGCTTCTAGCTTGAATACTACGATGAAATACTCCAAATATATTAGTAAAATTAGCCCCATTCTCTCCTGCAAACATTTAATTCTGAATTTAACTTAACTGTTTTCATTTTGTGCATGCGTGATTTTAGCAAAGTGCGTGATTAATATCAAAGTGGGAACAATAGTACATAAGGGTACAATAACAGCGATATCTACGAGGTTTACAGGTCTTCGAGCTCCAATTATACTGAAAACTATAAACAACACAATCAAGTACGATCATCAACATTTTGCATCTTACCAAGCCTTCAGGTGAATGAGAATCTAGCTTCGCTTTTCAGCTGACTTCTGTGTGTGTGATGTTGGCTTAGCAAAGAGCAAATGCTCCAATACAATCGCCTGTCAATCACAATGTAACATAGCTGATGCGTTTAAAAAAGCATTGAGGGTGGAAAATTTGTCGGGACGGATATAAGTTAACATATTTGATATTTGATCTTTTAAGAAAATAGTTTCTGTGTTCACAAGTGATTGGATATGAGTGAGTGAACAATAATAACTAGCACTATGAAGACAAGCTAAATGCTAAGACAATGCTTATCACCACTAAACTCCGGACACGCAAAGACAATAGCCGCGTTCATTCAGTGATTAAATTAATCAGAAAAACTAACGCAGATAGATTCAGTGATTGGCTGGAAAAGAATGGCCTGTCATTAAAGTACTTAATAACTATCAACATATTGAATGACATTTGAATTTTTATTTATTTCATTATTATTTCTTTTAACGTTTTTCCCGACAATCAAAAGGCAACATCCTGCATCCCGGACTTTGAATTCCGCAATGCCGTGACTCCCGAATCACGTAAGATTTTTTTTTAGTTTAGTCGTCCCGGATCCCGCGCCATAGGTTCATCCGTTTCGCGGATCCCGGGTACACACTTCCAGTGAGACCCTGATTAATAAGAATAACTTTTTTTAAGGCGTTACAATCAGTTTTGTGTGAATATTAACAGGTATAACAAGAACAACTGAAAAGCGCAGCTACATTCTCATTTATCTAAAAGTGAGGTAAGATGCACTATATTGATGATCCTATTGGATTATGTTATTTATAGTTTTCAGGATTGGAGTTTTAACACATGTTAACCTCCAAGATATCGAATTCATTGTGAGTGTACAGTATGTACTAAGCCCACTTTTATATCATTCAGTATCGCCAAAATCATGCATACATGTACACTTACAAAACAAAGGAAATAAAGTTAAATTGGAAATTGAATGTTTGCAGGGAAGCAATGGGGTTAATGTACGTTGCTCATATATTTGGTGTATTTCATCGTAGTATTCAAGCTAGAAGCGTTGAATACTCTGGAAATTGTATTCTAATTTGTGTAAGCTGATCTAAGTCTTCTAGTCTTAAGACATCAGAAGTACATGTCTGGAAGAGTTCCAAGCTTGAACCACAAATAAAGTTTCTTTTAAAACTGAGTAAAACCGACTTAGTTTTTCTCTATAATCAATGCAGTGACATCGGCAACATGCACAACAACTTGTCTAGTATTGTCTTTACTCGTCATGGTCGTCATAATGGATTCAAATTTTACATTTTGGTTATCTTAAACAAGTGTCTTGTCTTTTTAGTATCATATTTCCATACTTATAAGTAATAATACCATGATCGACGAGGATCAATTTTTCATGGCTTTGTGGTGTGACAGAGTCAAAAGACACTATTTTGGACAGTAATTATTTAGTCATAAATCTATATTTTTAATTAGGAATGCCTCGTGTACACATAGGAATGTAATTCTTTAGTTAACTGTTTGCGTGGAGAATGCGTAAGCAAGAAATAATTTCCGTACGTAATTACATTACAGTGAGTCATGCCTAGGTTTGGCGCTTGTTTACGTAAGTTCGTGTTTGGGAC